AAATCACGAGACTAAAACTCGTGTAATAAAAACCCAACTTGTCGTAAAAATATCAGAGTTACATGTCGGATCTAAGGTTATGATAATATGTTATACAGCGATGGTATATCAAAAATAAAAGTTGTAACTTATAATTCATATAAAACACGCCAAGTCATTCGAAATTCGGTAAGTAATACGAAAAAAAATAATAAAAACTAAATTACTATTCTATTACAGTATTATAATGATGTTAATGCACATTGCACATGACGGTCATTACGTATATGTTACCATTCTTTATATCGTAAATTGTGTATAAGTTATGTATATGTTTGTAAGTATAATATTATGTCTATGTTTATTGTTTATGACGTATATGTTGATGTTGATGCGATACTGAGCTATTGCATATGCGATCGTAATTTTTACAGTATAATAAACAAAATATTATATTTATACTTTATTTAAATGTATAATAATATATATTAAATATTTCTATTTTAGTATTTTATATGAGAATTTCAATCACAACGCGCTTTTGTTATTTAAACAAAACTTATTAAAAATTATCAATGAAATTTAGTTTTGCATGATTAGCTTCGAAGGGATATTGTTAATTTGAATATTGAAAGAAAAATAATTAAAAATAGAGTTGAAAAATAATAAATTTTGAAAATAATATAAAAATCTTTTTACATTAATTTTACACAGTATAGAAATAAAAATTCAATTTAAATATTCTTTATTGTTATTAACAGCCAACTTTTTCCATTTCAACGATATCTAAGATAAATAGCTGATCATCAATGTTTATTTTCAAGTCTCATAATAATGAACATTTTAGATTCTGAGTGGAATGATTAATATATTTGATTGTTTTTTTTTACTTTTTATTTTTGTGTCTGTGTACACGATAAGTAGTCGAAATAATGCTTCGATGTTCAACTTCAGTATCTTGTTCGATTGGAAAGTGATTATCGTTGGTGCATTGAGGAGGTCAAAATTTAAAATTCCCAGTAATTTTCAAAAGCGCCAAGAAAAACAAAAGAAAAATTAAGGAAAAACTGGAATTTTTACTCAAAATTGAATTTAGTTTTTGGTGTAACTTTAAAACAAATGACCGTAGATACATATTGTTTTCACTGAATGTTTATATTTACATTTCCTATACACCATACAATTTTGAAAATATTTTGACGCTTTTTGAGCTGTTTACGGATATTTACTGTTTTAAATTTTTTTAGTTTTTTTTTCTATAAATATCAATAAAGTTTTATCTGTTGGGCCAAAAAGTTTAAAAACTAATACAAGGCTCCTGCTATATAATGTTACAATATTAGTTGAAAATTATATAGGCATAATATTTTTTATAGTCATTTTAAGTTCAAATTTGGTTGAAATTACATAAAAAGAACCTAGAACAACTATTTTAGTTATTTTGTTGTGATTGTATAATATTATTCGTGGGTACTTGAAACTTCTAAATTACACTCTTTTATATCTATGATAGTATCACGGTTTGTTGTTGATGTATAACGCGTTATAAGTACCTAATGGATATTTTGATATGATTAATTTGGAATTTATTATAGGTACCTATTATAGGTCAATTTTTTTTAATACCATAGATAAGCATATAATATGTCTTAAACCTAGACTGACATACCGTCTTCGCTCAGAATCGTTTTTCTTATACAATGATATTGTATCATTGGATTCAAATTTAATACCATCCATTATACAGTGACCCACTTGTAACCTACTGTACAGCAGAGCACCTTTTTTTTAACTTTATATTTTCTTATTGTAGTATAAACAGGAAAACCGTTCAAATAATGGAATTTTGTCGGTTCCAGATATACCTATTTTTATTTAGGAAAACATTCATTGATTCTGCCACAAGGGGCAGAAATAGATTAATTGTTAATTAATTAAACAACCAATTCAGCTAATTTAAAGTTGTACCTTAGTTACTTGAGATTGAGCTATTGTTTTTTATACCAAAAAGAATGACAACTATAGTCGAATCAGGAAAGTATGTGTAAATAAAAACTATAAATTGTAATTTAATCAATCGTTCTTAAACTAACATAGTCATTAATAATAACATATAGGAAATATACAGTTTTAGCATAGTAATATTAATTTTTATAGATACAATTTTTCGAATCAACTCAAATAAAAGTTAAGTGCTTTAACAGAAAGTCCTTCAAAAAATATAAACTGGTGAATATTTTCGTAATTTAATTATAAAATATACTCCTTTCAAATATTCACATTATAAGATGTAATATAATTTTTAAAACTGAATATTATTCAATATTTTAATAAAACAGTTTATAAAAAATGTATTTAAAAATTACCTGTTACATTACTCCAAATATAATTGTAAACACATATTATGGATAATAAAAAAAATATTATTTAATATTATATAAATTGTAATATATAAAACGGAAATGAATTACGACGGTATAGAGTAAAAAAGTATTTAGAATTCTGGAATAAAATACAAAGTAAAAGTAGGTATTTTGAAAGTATTTAAATACAAGTATTCGAATACCTACTTATAAGTTACAACAAGAGTACAAGACTGCCCAGTGCCCAAACCTATACACACTATTTCACCCCTATTGACATTATTTAAGAGTTAGAATGTTGATTCACACTTTTTAAACTTTCAAAACTAGTTCAATACCTATTTAGTCTATAGTCTTAAATTTACATTAACAATAGTTGAACGAACTTCTTTATCATCTAACAATATTATTGTAGCTTTTTATATTAGATTGTTATTGATAGATGACAGGCACGTACACAAAAAACATTGGAGGGGGGTCAATGGGTTAGTATACCTTTATATTGAGTAACCGATAGTAATAGATCATGGATGTGTTAAATTTGAATTCATTGTGCATACAAAATATAACGATCATTGAGTAGAGCCGGTACCTAGACATATTTGAATGATAATACATTTTATTTTATTATATATTTACATTGTTAAATTACATTAGTAATAAGGTAGGTTAAATTAATTTTTTCCAAAAACCAATTGTGGTTTCATTAAAATTGAACTTGAAATATTTGTGAAAAAAAGTTGTTGTCCTTATGTATCTCTTTTTTATATAATTGTTTGTTTCTGTAAGATAAATTTAACAAACAGGAACCTTGTATTGAATTGCCAAGACTAAGTAATTTAAACCGAAAATGTATACATTTTTAACTACAAAATATTGCATTATTATTTGACAAAAAATAATGCCTTTTCATTAGACTGAGTAACCAAAAAAAATTGTATTTCCCATACATGTAATTTCTTAGGTTAGTTTCTACATAATTTAAACAAGAATTGTTTTATTGGCTTAAAAGCTTTTCTTTTTAAGTATAAATAACAATATCAGTTAACCAAACGTTTTTAATACTACTTACTAATTATAACAATGTAATTAACGGCCAACAAAACAACATCTGTTTATGTTAATAACTAGTAACTGCCTACCTAATAGTCTACTACGCCACTACCATTTATGTGAATCGCACCGGCAAGACATTTTAAAAGGAACAGAACTTTATTTACCTTTTGTGTTTACATTAACGTTTAGACTATTAATTTCATAACTGGTCGACCATTAAATTATAAAATATTATCAAAACCTATTGCTGCGATTTTAATTCGAACGATTATGCACGATGCCCCTCTCCCCCGGCCCCACCAACCTCGTAGAAATTAAAAGAAAATCGGTTGACTGGCGTCCGGAGTTGCACTTACGCTCGCGAATCATAATAGGTATAATATTTTGTATACGCCTAATAATATCGTCGTCGTCATTATTATTATTATCATTGTTGTGGTGTAACAACCACTATTATATAGTGTTCGCTTTACAAATAGGATCCCCGCCAGCAGGATCCCACAGCCACATCGCCCCAGCGGTCCAAGTGAACAGGTAACTTAATTACCCCCTCCTCGCCCTGCATCGGCGCGCAACAGGTATTCCGCTGACGGACATATATAATACGAATATAATATACATATTGCACATATATTATTGCGTACCTACGGGGTACCGTTTTATACCAACACTGCGGTATGCTCGGCTAAACCGGTAGCTAACCGGTGGAACCTAACCAGCGGACGACCAAGACAATAACAACAATTATAACGGCTACAGGACGCCACCGCCGCAGCGTGGGGTGACGTCGTGCGTCAAAGTTTTACCGCCCTCGACCGCCTACGTTCGACACCCTTTCCTTTTCGTGGGCACGCGTATCGCGATGGGTATCGCATATATAAACCGCCACCGCGTTTTCGGAGGTTCAGAAAGCGCCGTTCGCTAGTTTCGGTCAGCACGCGAAATAATATTTAATTATTTTTTACTAATAATATCATTAGCGTACAGTCTTCGTTATAATATTGTCATAAATAATAATTGTTGCTGTAATATTTTGCCGCCGCCGCCGTACCACCCCGAAATCTTTTCACCGCGTCGTCTGCTGCAGCGTCTCACGCGCCATACACGGCCGGTACACGCGACGCCGCCGCCGCGCTCTCTTACCTGCGCCGCGGGCACGCGCGCGTTTTTCTGAACCGCCACACACCGCACCGGATAGGCCGACCGCGAGCAACCGCGCTCGAGAAAAGCTCAGACTGCAGACGAACCGACCGAGGTGTAATAGCCAGTCCACCGACGAGGTGCACATTATATTTTATAATAATATTATTGTAGAGACGTATAATAATTAATAGTCTATTATAATACAATACTATAATAGTATTGAAGCCGCTCGACAGCATAATAATAATTATTATTGTATTTTAAGAGCTCAGCTGTCCGCGCAATACCGTCGACATTATATTATATACCTACTATATAATATAGGTAAACTTTGTTATGTTATATTATTATAGTTAATTAAACTGTTATTATAAATATTGCGTCGTATTAGGTGCATATCGTTGTTGTCATTTCGCGCCGATCGCATCATCAGAGAACCGACAAACGCCGCGCGACAATATGGTACACTTGACGTTGATCGCCAGCCTAGTCTTCGGCTTTGTCGCCGCGTCCACCGCCGGCATCACCGGTAAGATGATTACTTTGAATTCTGTAAAATATGCAATTAATATAATATCATAATAATCTCATATAATGTACACTAAAATATGATAAATTTACCCATTGCAGTATTGCACCCCCCCCCCCCACATGTATAACGACCTCTTAGGGCTACAACTGTCTATACCGTGTTTTGTTATTATATTTTCTTAAAATGTTTCTTCCGTCGTTCTGATGTCGACGAGTAAGTTAAGAATATGCAAAAACTTTACGTTGCGATAGTGGTTTTCAACATTTATAAGATACATATTAGGTATATACAATACACTATAATATATATATGTATTGAAAATTTGATTTACTTTTATAAATATTATTTGTTTTTATTATTATTCCGTCGAACCACAGATAAGCAAAACGACCAACATTTTCATTTTATTCGTATTTTGACTGATTAAAAACTATAATGAATTTATCGATTACGTGTAATTTAACCGTTAGATTTTATAAAATACTGTAAGTACCTTTTGCAGTATAAAACTATAAAAGTAATAATTTATTTGCTTATTCAGCTATAAGTGTTTTTTTTTTCTACATAATATTGTACCTATATTACAATTTTTCTAATATTCCCAGATTTAAATGATTAAAAATCAAAAATAAACTTTTACAGCCATTAGAAAAAAGTTTCGTGTTTCGCGGCATCACAGTGTCTGTAAAACGAATATTGTGTAGCAATCTTATACTATAGTAACTGTTATTTAGGTGAACTTTTTTTTCCATATAAAATAATTTTCTCAATGCTGATATACATTTGGAGGAACTCTTGACATTGTTTCGGGGAACCCTTAAGTTCCTCCATGGAACACTATGAAAAAAGTTGAACTAATATATTATATATTATACTATATAATACTATAAGTAATATAATATATATTATACGTTTACCTAAGCCAATATTTAGTTATTAACTTTACTCCAATGAAATAAAAAATAATAGGCATAAGCACTGTTTGGAAATATTGTTGACGCAATATAGCTTAATCAAATTAAATTTTTCAATGCCTTAGTAATTTACCTATGTATAAATGACAGACATTGGAGTTATTTTTTTAACACTATCACCGATTTTTTAACAACAATTATTATAAGTTTCAGTATTATTGAGTATAGGTGTTTATTTTCATTCGAATATAACTATTTTAGAACATATTATATTATTATAATAATCAACACGCTCTTTCCAAATATTTCACCCAAATTGTTTTTAATTAATTAAAAATATGTGCATGAAACTATATTAATTAATTGTTAATGAGTGGTTCGTTAAATTAGTGGTGTGTTATTATAATATATATATTAGTATATTACATTATGATTTATGATTATATTATATTAGTATACAAATAAATATGTCCATGCTATCAATATGGTAATCAATTAGTTACCCGAAACTGTTGACTAATTATAATAAAATTAATGTGTAATAATAATTTACCCGTTGTTAGATATTAGGTATAAATTATAGATACATAATATTGATAAATGATAATACTATCATAAATACCAAACTCTATAATCGTATAATCGTATAGGTAACATCGTTATTTGTTGCTTATAACACATTTTCAAATTTATGACGTTTCTTATTTATTATATTCATTATAAACATTTCATGTACAACGTTTTTATATATTTTGTTTAAATTAAAATGAAAATGCGATTTACTTTTCGAAATAGGTTTATTTTATTTGTTTTTATTCCGCTGAACCAATACAAAGTAAAACATCAATATTTTCAATTTATTTATATTGTAATAGATCAATAACTGGTATCAATTGATTAACTAGGGAGTTAGTGTAATTTTACTGTTAGAATTCATAATAATATTAGATATTAGTTATGATTCATCTACGTGTATTTTCGTACGATTATTACGAGTTTGTGATATTATACCTAACGTATATGACGCGCGTTATACTACAGGTAGTAACATATTATTATAATAAAATTATTTAGAATATTTCATTAACAAAATGTTAAACAAAACGAGTAGATATACTATTATTTATAGCACAATTCCTAATTAATAAACACGGCTTGTATCAGGAATAAAACCATATAATACACTCAAAAATACCTCACAAAGTGACAATAATAATTATGTTTTGACATTTCAAGAAATTTCAAGAAATTTCAAGACGTGGTCGTTCCTCTTAAACCTATCGGCGTTTCACGCAGATTAATTTTGGACATTTTAATATAGACACACAACACACTGTACAGAAATCACAATAATTTATACATGACTTTTAAATGTAAAAAAAACCCTCTATTTTATACTAACCGTTTGTCCGTTTCGAATGTATCTCATTATTGAATAATTCACTGTAATGTATGTCCTGATTTGTTTGTATCTTTAAATTTGAATTCAATATCAAACTGTTGCATAAATAAAACGCGATTATTAGCAGAGAGGGTGTGTGAGTGTGTTAGCCTCTTATATTTGTCAATATTTTATGTTTTATTTATATTGTTATAAATTATTTATCGTTCTATATTAATAATACTAATATAGAAAATTGTACTTATTTTTGCTAAAAACATAACGTGTATAAATATATTATAAGATAATTATTATTATATTGAATCTTATACTATAGTTATTAACTTACAATAATTGATACATTGATCGATGTAAGTAGGTTATTAGCGTATAAATAGCATAATAGTTATAAGTATAGTATTAATATTTTGAAAGTTGCACTGCGTATAGAAAATAAGAATTTATTATTATTATTTTAATTTACTACAAAATAACTAAAATTGATAGTAGAAATATCATCGTTTTTCGCTGAAATGTCCTATTTTGTCAATTGATGAATGTTGAATTTCAAATGTCTATAAAAAATCTTTTGATAATGTATATTCTATAATTTTTGTTTGTTATAGAAATAATTTATGAAGAACTTTATAGTTATTTAATTTTAAAGTTTTTGACGTAAAAAAAAATGATTTACTTAATTCGAAAACACAAGAAAGAAAATACGATATGTGAGTAGGTAATAGCTCAAAAATAACCATATGATTTTGACATCAAAAATAATGTCAGGCTAATGCTAATTTAAATTGTTGGGAAACAACAATAGAAACATTATAGATCTACGACTATTAATTTTTGAATTATAACCCAATAATAAAATTAATCGTCATATCAGTAAAATTCCAATGTGGCAATGTATACTTCAATTATTATCGGTCTAATAAAAAAAATCTTACAACGAACTATAGATTGATTTATTCATCATTTTATAGAATAATTTAGTTTAAAGATGCCTGCATAATATATTAATATAATAATATGTATATATTATGCATATTTAGTTAAATAAAATGGTATGAATACAGTTTACTTCAATGGTTCGACAAGTGTAGGATGGTCAAGTAAATAAATTTCCATTAAAATATTAAACTTTAAACTAGTGTACTTTACCCGGTAGGTACTGTTGAACATTTTCACCCTGGAATATCAAAAATTGACATCTAAGATCTAAATATACTATACATAATATATTTGAATATTACAAAATAATACATAAGGCATTTTAAGTCATTATCAGAAAATAAAGATATACTAATTTATCTCGGTCGTTCTCTCACACTAACGTTTATTAATGTACCTATATTGTAGGTAACACATACACATTCCATATAGAATACACATAGGTATATAAATATTTCAAATTGTCTGCTCTGATAACATACTCAATAGAGTTAAGTCTTATAGTTAAATCGTAATAGTATTTCAAACATTCTGTTGGTCACTTTAAATGTGGTGTTTTACCATTTGTATACAAAATAGTGGTTCAAACTCAATATTTATAAATCTTTTGTACACCTGACATTATAATAACTAATAAATAGGGTGTTTCATCAATTATGCTTCCTTATTAATTATTCTTTAGTGCACTCATTCAAATCCAGATTTTTGGAACTTTTAAGTATACTTAAACATCATACATTAAAATACTAGATAGGTACTTATTTAAAGTTTAGAATTGAAATATTAGAATTAATTCAGACCATTGTAATTTTGCATCCGAAAGACTCATGCCGGCTTGTATAAAAAATTGATCAATTTAAAGGTCCACTTAAATTTAATGGACTAATCATGGGCCACTAAATCATGTTTAAGATGCCATTAGTTCACATTGATTCATTAAATGTTTAGCGATTGTTTATGTGACCCGACTTAAATGTGAAAAAGTTACAAAACACGATATTTATCTATTTAAGTAAATATATTATTATTGGTCTTATTGAAAATCAAACAAAAAAACAAACAATAAATTTAAGCATGGATGATTAGTGGATAAATAAAATACTATTGGCAGAATAAAATATGCAGATAAATATAAAATAATAATAATAATATACATGGACCCTATAATAAAGTCATTAACAGCTGAGACGACCGGAAAATTAAATTAAAATAACTAATTGTATTGTAATTTCAAAGTAATATCACTGCAGATAATACTCACGAATTAAATATTTTTTAATTACGTTTCCGAGTAAAAATTAAAAATCCAGGTCGGGTCACCACATTTAAATGAAGGTATTTAACCATCTCAGCTGAATTCTCCGTATGGTCAATTTCGCTATTAAAACCAAATCAAAAAAATGCGAAATATGTATATATACATATATAATTTTATAATATTTATGCATTCATTACGGGCAATAGCTCTGATGTTTAATTTTTTTGGCAAATTCGTGGTTAACGTGCCACATACGGATTCCGGGCCATCAACGGCATTTACGTACCTCAAATGCATATGTTAACTCGACCGAAATTCGCATCTCAATAATTGCCGCTTATATTACTTAATATAATAATATATTTGACCTATTTCAAACCATGTGGTCCTTTGTTCGGCACTATAATCAGATACCCACGTTCGATTACTAACGCACAATTAAGTAAGTACACCCGTATACATACGCCGCTATGTGGTTATCGGACTTGGACTTAAAATTTCCACTCTGTCATATTTTAGAACACCGAAATTCCTCATTGTCACCCTCTAATATAATACCAAAATCAGACAAAAGATTACGAGTACTTAAGTCTTACACACGACTCATGAGTAGGTACCTGATAGTATATACTGCATGACACACACACTCATATAGTATATTACTCATTTTTTACCCAAAATTAAGGAAATTCACTACATATTTAGAACAGTTAAAAAAACTAATTTATTTACAAACCATACAGTTTTATAGTATATAATAAGACGTAAGTTTGAAAACAAACTAGTTTATATATTATAATTTATAACATAGCAAATAATATTTACATACCTATACCCAACAGTCCCAACCCGAAACTTTATTGTTTTTTTTCTATCTTATAGTAATAATCTCTAGGCCATTGTCTTATTAAACTTCGATGTACTCATTTCTGAGAAGTGAGATGGAGAAGATAATTGTTTAATTAGTTGATTACTAAGAGAGTTTAAATTAGTATGAAATTTAAAGTAATATAATTTGGCTAATTGATTAAATAAAGGTAAGTAATTTTAAGGTCTTTATGAAGATTTTTATTTGTTAAATACCAATGATGGGAGTTATTTGTCACAAGCTAGATAAGTTGAAATTCCTGAAGCGTTTTGAAAACAATATATTTAATAAAATTTCTATTCTTATTTATTATGTATCTATATTCATTTATAGCAACGTTGAGCAAAAAACTATATTTATAACTGATGATTTGAGTTTGTAATTACAACCAAAAAATTAGGATGATTTATTATTTGTAATTAAAATTTGACTATGAAAAAACTAGTAGCTGAAATTAATAATACATTATTCATTTATTATTGACCACAATTATTTTTATTAATTTTATAATATGATATATTTTAAAATTCAAAGTACCTACCTATAATTTTACTTCGCATATTCTATTGATGAATTCATTGAATTATATACAATTAAATTAATAATGAATAATAAATTATAGATAATATTAGATATAATCTTTATAAATTTTAATCATCAGAGTGAATCATAGAATTTGCTCAAAAGTTAAATAGGAATAATTATATTTTTACCGAGATGTTTTAAATTTTAAATTTTCATAAATAAAACAGGGTACTTGGGCAAGCAATACCTTCAATGTATATACCTATAATTACACAGTACACTATACTGTTTTAGTATCATCACATACGTTTTAATTACGCAATGTATTATTAAAACTGTTTTACTCAATTTATTGTGTTTATAAAATATGTTCAAAGAAACGTTCTTGGCAGTAGAGAAAATTCAACAAAATTTACAGTCCAAAAGTTCAAAGCACGTCAAACCTAAATTATTTAAGTACCCGTTCTCGGAAAATCTAAAATAGTTACAATAAGTACCTATATCAAAATTATAATATTCATAAATAAATTGTTCATTTGATGGATCGAGTTATTCAGTTTATAATATTGTTTGTGTACTAACTATTATTGTCTGTAATACTCTATAGACGTACATAATGATAATTTGAAATCAAGACTACCTACTTATTTTTCACCTATATTTGTATAGGTACTACAAAACCAATTTTAAATAATATGATATTCTGAGAAACTATTAAGTGTATTTTTCTACTGACAACACATTTATATATTAATAGAGTTGAAGATAATTTGTTGTCTCAAGCTGCATAAAACGACATTTATTTAAAATCAAAAAATGGAAGTAAAAAACTAAAGCTACCAACACGTGCAGCAATATTCTGAAAGTTTGAAAATTTTATGTGAAAATTTTATTCATCATAAATAATGATAACAATTTCATTTATATTTAAACGTATATTGCATATAATATTATTATATTACATAAGCTCAGTTTAATGAAGGTGGTTCGAACAAGTCATCATGCATGAGTCTATTGAATTCCTCTACTTACATAAATTGTCAATGCTCTGAACTGCAATGTAAGCAACGTAGGTAGGTACCTACCCAAAGTCTTGTGTAATATTAGATGTAACTTTACTATATTGTAACTATTAAGAAACTGAAAGACTTAACGATAAAGAAAAAAAGTATAAAGAAAACCATTTCCGGATTTATTTCATATGGAGCTTCTTTCTCTCGAGTACTTAAATATTCGCTGTACCTAATCTAAAATTATACATTTTAATCGATTTTACATAAATAGGGTCTATTCATTTAGCAGATGCAGATTATAATGTGAATTTTTTGTACCACATCTGCTGTAAAAGTTTTTTTTTTATAACCTCACCATGCACCATTAGTGGTATACATAATATTATGAATATTGTAATATTGTAATAATGTAATACCATCCAGAAAACCATAATAGGTAGAAAGCGTTTTGATGCAACCACTATTACCCCTTCACCACACACATTAAAAAAAAAGCGTCACATGCCACTATTTAGATCAAAAAGTTTGCAAAAATTTACAATCACTAAACATTTGACACGTCATGTGTAAAGTGTACATGTAAAATATACAGGTTTCTTTATGATAAAATAATTTTAAATTTAGGAAATTTAGAAATAATAAGTGTAATTAAAAATATTGTCTATAGCTTATTTTTTAGAACCTGTATCACATATGGTTTTATTATTTTTCCTATTAGTTGATTTTGAATTTATATTAATATTAAAAAATCTTAGATTGTATCAACCGAAGGCCAAAACAATGAACACAATAATTAACATTTATAAACCACACTAATACTAGATTAAGTAGGTACTAACTTAGGAACTTTGTTGTATCTATTTTATTTATTAACAAAAAAAAAGATTAAAAAGTTCAATAACTATCTACTACGTTACTAAGTAGTACCTATGTAACTATTGTAACTACTACAAAATTAAATTTTACTATTCTTACTCTTTAGCTAGTAGGTAAAATATTATCTCTCAGTCAGTAACAATAATATTGAAATTTAAAAAAAGAGACAATAGTTATGGCAGAAAACATAATTTACGCATCGATTAAACACAATTTAAAAACTATTTTTGGCTTGTTTCAAACATATTATCATATTTATAAAATGACAAATATTTATAAGTTACCTATCTGATTTTAATTTTGAAAACACGCGTCGAGATAATTGTTTGTTCCTTTCTAGGTCAGTTCTAGGAAATTTAATTATCTATTACTCATACTCAATGACCAAAGTTGTTAATTTTTTTAACTTTTGTTAAATGTTTGTATTTCGAAATATAAAATAAAATATAAAATGAAATATCTCAATATTTGTAAATAATAATGTGTGTACCTATTAATAAACTATTATAACATTGTTCAACGATTGTTTAATAATATATAAAATATTACCTAATTAAAATAATATGATATACTATTATTTTACTATAGGTACGCAAATTACGGATGTATAAAACTATAGAAAAAGTTTTCGTTTTTTGATGAAAGTAACGTGATTGACAATTGTTTAGACTATTCTTGTACATTTTAGTCATTTTACATAGTTTCATGGAAATGGTTCATTGACATTAAAATGTGCACTTACGAAGCAAGAGTCGTAGAGTCGTGTCTTACTTGGTAACAACTAACATGACGATAACAACCATTGCGACTTATTGTATATAATGTAAACCTCATCGCAACATGTAAATGCCCTAGAATATCCAGCTTCAAACGTTCCTATTGAAATTGTCAACTGCAGATAACCCTCTGAATAAGCATTACCCAGACACAATTAGATACAGTGTTTGTCGTTTGATGTATCACGTTTGATACATTATAAAATACTTCAGTTGTCATCTAAAATGCGGATACTCCCTTATACTCACCCTGCACTTATGAACACATTATGGACGTTTAATTTTTCATACAAAATAAATGATAATATTAATTGGATTGTAATTTGTATCATACTACTCACTACTTGACTATTTACGACTGACGGCGGGTTGTGTGTATGTTACAGATGATGGCACCGAAGGTTTGTCAGCGGTGGGAGCTCCTTGGGAGGACAGCCGTTTGGACGAGAGGATTTACGCGGACAGCCCAAACTATCTGACGTTTCAGCTGAACAGCAAGAGATATTCCGTACCCTATCACCCGGTGGCCAGGTTGAGAGCCAGTCAATCGGCCGGCGTGGTGCTACCGTACGCCATGATCGCCAACAGGAACTACATAAACGACGAAGGAAACCGATGTAATGATATAAGTACATAACTAATTAATTAATGATAATCATAATATTATATATATTGCATAGTATTTAGTTTTATATAATATATATAATTATTATGTCTTATACAAGGCGAGTCTTTTATCACGAAACCCTCATTATTTCAAAAAATATTAATGTTTTTGAAAATATTTTTTTACATAGTTTATAGTTGTTAAAAAAACAACGTTTTTATTAAAAAATCATATTTTTAAATATTTTTTAACCTGGTCTAAAGTTTAGACATGCGGAGTAGTATACGAACATGTTGCGGGGTAACCCCGTACCACTCGCGATCCTTTCTACCGATATAAGCTTTGAATACTTATAACTCATAAAATACTCTCCCTAAATTCGATTTTTATGAATAAAATACTTCAAAAAATATTATTCTTTAGAATATGAAATTAAAGCTCTATGTTGTCATTCAAAATAGTAAAAAACTTAAAAAATTATAAGGATAAAAAATATTTAAAAAAACATTAATACTTTTTGAAATAATGAGTGTTTCATGATAAAAGAATCAATCACCCTGTACAAGACCCTACGATACAAGTATACATTTATACGTAGGTACATCTGTAATAAATTCTATAATATCTAAATATCGGTAGTAGGCAGTAGGTCGATACAGCTTATTCAGTAAGCCATGTAAAATATTTTTTCAAAACAATCAGAAATCATATCATAACACTTAATTTCTCTAGAAATTTGCCATCTGAAAATACTGTAAGTACCTTGGGAGTACCGGTAAATAATATGCATAATATCCTACACTCTGTTCGAGTTAATAAATGTAGTCGGCTGAGATCAGTTTTCGTCAACACCCGTTTGTCACACCAGTCAATTATCTGTATACCTTCCTTGTAGTATTTCCACGTCCCTGAATACAAGTCGACCACCGGCTACCTACGTTTCTTAACTTGAACAGAGTATATACTTTGAGGGATTGACGTTCATGGGGCGGTACTTGTAGTCGGTTCGGAGGTGATCAATAATCGGTGCGCTTACACACCTCAAATCTCAATACCACATACTATAATATTATTATTATAAATGAAACATATTATGCATACCCGAACGGTGACGAGGGGGAGGGGTAGGTTTGATATTCACGGCAGAATATTATTCACACTCGACAAAACTTACGCCTTCTGGAGGACGCGAAAAAAACAAAAACTGTTTGTCGATCGAGAATCGGACACTGATGAGAAACCCTCAGAAAGCTTCGACGACCGTTTCACAATACTGACCGACGCCATAATATATCATATGCATTCGAAACTGTGGCTACGCGTTCGCCCCGAATAAGTTAAGGTGCCTTTATCGTGTCGTGTTAAAATTACAATGTTGTGATTGGCCGAACATTGTGGTTACCTAATTAATATACCATGTTACCAAACGTTACCTGCAGAAAGTTGAAAAACATTTAACTTGTCGCCTCCCGGTAACAGTGGTTTAATTGTTAGAAACTATCCACCTTCTGTCAAAATAATAGCCATGATCATATGATAAGGTTACATGACCGAGTTGTAACCGAGTATCAACTCGGTTACATTCGTTGACCAAATAGATATACCAGTCTTGACAAGAACGTGATAAAAAGCAACATATGAACGACACGCGATACAGTGTAATAAAGGCACCTTTACCGTAAACAATAATATGATTGGTCGAACGGTTACCACGATCGAACCACTAGGCGTGGGGTTTAAAACCGCACCGATACATTTTTCGGCGACCACTTTACGAATGCGTCGAGTCTTTTTTATTTGTATACCTAGTTATTCGTCTTGGCAAATATTCAATGACACGTAAAATAAACTTCGAATTCAATGATGGCAGCGACGCGTCCCATAAGCGACGGTCCGCGGAAGATTGTGATGTAACGACAATACGCGCATATAGCTTAAGCGATCCGCATCATAGACCACGCGCCGCTTGTTCCTTCAGCGAGGCCCTGTTTCCTGCTTGTTTTCCGCACCAAGCCGTGCCGCATATTTTTATGTTTATTTCGATTTTGTATACGAAGCATTGTTTGAAATCGATTTCTGATTTCGTAATTTATTTCAAGAACTCGCGAGTGGTGTCACCGGCTGCAGTTGTGGTTCAGTGTGGTCTGAAACATGACCTATATATACTTATTTAAAGCATTGAAACAAATTTAAAAAAATTCTTATTTTTAGCAACCCATATGAATATAATATAACTACATATTATGGTATAAAACATTCTTTGAAAATAAAAATCGTTAAAAAATGTAATTCGAGTGCAATTACATGAAAACAGATATTTACAATTTCCACATTTAAATATGTCGTAAACCTCTGCAGGGACTCTGTTTCAGAAGTGCACCCACAACTCTTGTCTTTGTGAGCAATCATTTTCGACAATATCGCTGTTATATAATAAATATAATATAATATATTGAAATATACGTATGTTATGTGATTTTATAATATTATACTCAAGCCCTCAAATATGAGCAATATAATTTTAGCACATTTTTTTTTATTATTTACCTATTCAAGTTTTAAATATATTATTATATTATTGTATGGTGTCGATTTCGACTATCTTGGGTGGACTACATAATGATGGCCATACCGTTATAACTATACAAAATCTGTTTGAGTACATGCAAATTCTCTTAAATCACTTGAAAATTGTTGTTGGTGTGGTTCGAAGTGGTTTGTACTATGTGGGTGGTCCAACTTTACTTACGTTGACACTGCTCTCCTTGAAATTTCTATAATCGCTGAGCGGTTGCATTAGCGTGATCCATATGCAAATCTAATAATATTGTGTTTAACGACTGTCAATATTTTTGACATGTCAATGACATTTGTAATTTGTAGACGATATAATAATAGGTGTGTATATTCATTCAATGCGAGACAGGTAGAAGGGTCTAGGGATTTAAAAAAAAAAGAGGTTAGACACAAACTATGCACTTATAAGACGTCATTATTTAGGTATAACTAAGTACAAATTAAATATCCATCAAAATTTCAAAAGTGATTAAATTTATACGTATATAAAGTATAAACGTTGTAGATGTCTGTACCTTTTTACATTTTTTTAATTTGGTACAACAAAATAACAAGTCATTACTTTTTATTTAATTACATACAATTTTGTAAACAATTTATTAGTCAACCATTATAATATTTTAAACATCCTGATGCTATAGTAAAATTATTTTAATCTTTTCAAACCAAATAGATTTCCTGTTAACCGTGTTGTTCAAATAGTCGTAGAATAATAAAATTCTCTTATATTTAAATATGGCCATATGGCGTACAAATCTCGAACCAAGCCCTCAAACATATTCAAACATTCCTGTCCATATAGATCATACAGTGGCATAATATAACCAAAGCATTTTTCTAGGTTTCGAATAATACATTCCATAATAATAATGACTTCGCTTCAAAGCGTCGTCAAAACTTTTTACGAACTTTGACCTATCCAACTACACCGCGTAATCCTTTAATAATATTCTACAAAATCCGTTTGTAGTGATCTGTTTTAAACGCAAAATATTATGGTGTCGTGAAAAAGCGACAGTATAAAATCTTTCACTCAACGGCATAATCGTTCATGATTATTTAAGTTCATAACTTAATTTTATTCATCATTCAGCGCGCTTATTGAAAAATAATTGTTTACAAGATATAATAAATATTGTACTGTAAAACATACATGATAAAAAAAAAAAAAATAATAAAAGAATTCCTAAAAAACCGCAATAAAAACTCAATTTTTCACTAGTGTCGTGTTGTAGTCCTCCTTTATTAATATAATGACACTACTTTTCACACCATGCTCGCGAGGAGGTCCCTCGTGGCCGCACGAGATTCGTTATACCGTTGATATGACGTGCGTGCGCTTCCTGTCCAAAAAAGCAGCGTTTTTCAACAAAAACGGTAGTTTTGTTTCCTCTCTTCATAAGTACGTAATAATATTATACATTATACATGTGACGAGTATTTTCAATTTTACACGGAAGTAAAAAACATAACGCTGGCTTGCCGACCAATATAACAACCCAAAATAAGATTTTTTTTATAATACTATACAATAATAGAAAATCCCACTTGAAGTGCTTACACCTAACGATCACAAAAATATATATAATTATTCGTTTCAAAGGTTCGTTGAAACCTGCAGGATTATGATATTATTATTTCCAAAAACGCGTTTTTATTCAGTGTGTATTATAATAATATTATATTATTATCGTTTATGATAATATATAATAATCACAATATCATACCGTAGTATTAATACACTATAGTTAAACCGATCTACCGATCATTTATGTATGTATTGTAATCGGTCTGTTTATTATTGGAAATTAACCACCCAAAAAAATATTTATCTGCGAATTACAAATCCTCGTTCGAATAATAATCAAATCGTTACCAACTCACGATATTCGTAACTATATCAAAAATTGGTAAATAAAATATTTCAAGTAATAAATAGTACCTATATGGCTATATGATATGTGTAAATCGAATAAAATAATATCAACACTGTAGTAAAATGTGATATTATTAGTCATATTACTCATATTAAAAATGTTACATTACGATTTGCATATATTGAGCGATTTATGGCCGTTTTAGCATGTCAACAGATCTGATCGGATCTAAATAAACAGTAATATTATAAATTATAATAATATGTTTTATTATATACCTATATTACAATGAACGATATATACATATTATGCTTGATTATAACAATTATTTATTGTTTCGAGCATAATCCCGCATAAAATTGAAAGGTACTAAAATCAAGCATAGGTACCTATAGAAATAATTATAGTATGAGTTGTAAATGTATATGAACTGTTTTAAATAATAAAATACAATCGAATAATATTTTCATAATTCATGCTACAGACGTTCTACTATTCCACTTAAAAAACCGATACATAGTAAATGTATAGTAAAAAAAATTGCGAGTAAAATGTATTTGTCAAAATTAAGCATTATTTTTTTTTACCATTATAGGTAAGGTATTGAATTTTTCTTTGTGATTTAATTTTTGAAATAATTTTAATAATCTTACTTATTTCTTTAACGTTTTTATTCTTCTATATTTTTAAATCGAAATGCTAGGAGCAGCTATTAGGAACATAATAATATTATTAATATTATATTATATAAGTTACTTGTGAGAGCTCTCACGTTTTGTGTAGGTTATCAACAAATTAATATATTATAAATTAGGTATCCGTACCTATACAACCTATTGTTTTTGGCTCACAAAAATTCGATTTTTTTTCTACAAAAAAAAAAAATTAAATTAAACTGTAATATGGACTGACGAACACCGGACGAAATAGTTCCATTATTCAAGGACAATTAAAAATAAATTAACAATGCATAGGATATTTTACAGTCGTATAATAAGTATAATACATTAATACCATTGGGTATTGATTATAATATATTACTAAGTAACATAATATAATCAATGATATACTCATCACACACGGACGCACGCCTAATTGGTCTGTTCGAATATCGATGTGAATGCGTGACATTTATATATAAATGCGATTTCGGACAATGATATATTTTCATATTATATAATATATTTATCACTATAATAAATGATAAAATTGAATGCACTAAAAACCTTTAAAATTGCATTTAAAACAAAAAAAAGCAGTAAAACCACTAACTCCCTCGCTCCACTCAGTCTAAAATTAACTTAAATCAACATTTTAAAATATAAAAGTAGGTAGGTACTTATCGTCTTATTGAAAAAAAACTATATTTGTGTAAAGGTACCTACATATTATTAAGTTCTAAAAAATAATCGGGTAACTAATTTTGCTGTATAGTAGGTATATTATACCTATGTATCCAATGTATTTTGTCATTGTGTAGACCACTATATATGGCTGTAATGGATTTGTTAAATTTAAATTCAATGATAAAATATCATTATGATATTTTAATATACATCTATATACTGCTGTTATAGAATTTTTTTTTCTAAAATGTTTTTTCCAAAAGAAATTGCATGTTATGTCAATATATTTTTTACTAAGTTAAGGCTTCAAATACATTTTTCATCAACCTATACGATAGTTTAAGGTTGTATACACTTGTAAAGTTTTATGGTGCTATAAAAATACAATAATTGTGATAGTATACCTATCGGTTTATGTGTAGTGTTCTAAATACATGCTGTGAGATCGGCTATCTTGAGGAAATCTATAATTCTTGATTCTTGTTCGGTACCGAATGCTTCTTTGGATGAGATGGTGTTAACGTTAGATTTTTTACGAGGGTATTGGTAGTTGAAACCTTCTAAGAATGTGTATTTCACGGAGAGTACACAAAGGCCCGTTTTCCACATGGATTCAGGTTCCCTGCGGTATATTATAATTATTTTAATATTATTTCATATAACACTATAGCTGTTACTTGTAAAGCAATTTTAAACCGGTGTGGATTATAAGTTAATTATATAAAATATATTTGACCCCAACCCTCAAACTTCTCCTAAAGAGGCAATGGAAAAAACACAAATTATCGTTAAAATAATACCTCCATTGCTCCTCTTATAATCTTAATATATAAATATGTTTCATTTATTTAGATAGGTTTTAAAAATTATATAAAAAAAAAATAGTCACACAGTTTGTGGAAAATAAAAAATAATTATAAAATGTGTGCAAAAAACGTTGACTAAATTGTTAAAACTGCCATGAAACACAATAAAAAAGAAAAATAATACTTAAAAATAAATAATATCAAAAAATGTACAAAATGCAAAATAAAATGTTCAAAATTGACTTCATACAGCATAATATTTCATCTTTGTGACTATTATTCTAGAAGAACTACGTCTTACATAAATATTCTTGTTGGTAAAAAAAATTTATTTTTCTACAAATTATTCACAATCATATTATACACGGACGTATACTTTAATCGTATTTATGTGTATTTGTAGTCGAATCAGTGTGGAAACCTACCGCAGCCGAACTACTGACTGTGCTGATGAACCGTCGGAAGAACGCGGACACAGGAATGGACAACACAAATTTCATGCGATTCGGTATCAGTAAAAGGACGCGTTTCGACGATAAATAAAGAGCCTTCAGCGCGTGCGCTTCTTATTTCTGTAACGGCCATTGTCGGCTATTATTATTATTATTATTATTATTACTATTATTATCCCCAAAATAGTTTCATTGTAAATTATAAACACGACGTCAAAACTCGTATTTTATCGTTTGGTTTTATTTTTTAGTTATTTCATTGGTTTAAATAAAACTTTTTTTTTTTTTCTAAACATCTCATCACATAATATAATATTCGTATACAAAATTGTAATAAAAACAATATAATATAAATGATATATTATTACATTATAATAATGTCCCTACGTCAACGCACACACCTATATACTACGAAGGTATTTATTTTATTTTATTTAATATTATACAGTAGGCGAAAACGTATTTTATTACATGATACAATAATTATAAAATATTTGGGCACTGCAGTGAACGAATGGTTTTAATTTTTGTAAAACGTCAAAAAAGCAAAATTCGCAACGTTGTACAATCAATGGTAACAAACCTCATACGTGGTACACGGTATACGTACAAGTCACACTCACATTGTCTGAACACTTCCTGCAAGTACCACTGATAAATTAGTTAAAAAAACAACAATAAACACACCGTTATTATTATTATTATTGTAAACATTTTGTGCGATGAGTGGCTAATGTTCTATGCACTTCTTATGTTTATTAAATGTTTAGTTTTGACACTTTACATGTAGATTGTTTTTTTTTTTACTAATTTATCAGGTATAACATATATAGTTAGAAATAGAGAAAAAGGAGGAGAAAGATTGAATATCTACCATACGGTGCAGCAAAACGTTGTCTACAACACATGGACGAATCGTTATGGAAAATTATAGACTTATGGACATAGACAGAACATTAGGTATGATAACGCGTGAAATGGTGGAGCTTGTTACCAGAATCCGGCGCTATTAAAGCAATGTATTGGCTTTCAGTGCCATTTCTCTCACTCTTATGATAAAACTCATGTTATCTCTCTTAATCCGTTTAGCACGACCACTCCTTTCAGTCTTCAGGACAAATATGTCCTGTCTATTTCTATAAGTCTATGTGGAAAATATACTGACGATAAATATATAGACAGCAGCCCAAACTAAGCTAGGTGTACATAATATTTATTGGTGGTTGTTGAACCGGAAATACTTTTAGCCCAGTCTCCAGCGACTCACCATCAGATCGAAAGAAAAAATTTGAGACCGCAGGTCCCCGATGAGATCGTCACAAGGCTATAATAATATTAGGTATGTAATGTCACTGCGTTGCCTGTTATTTACAAAACAAACTACCTACAATGTAAGAACAAGTTTTTTTTAAACATATATAAATAATATATTTAAGTATAATATATAAAAAAAAAAATATATATATATAATTATTATTAATATTACGTATGTGTATAATAATTAAGCGTAAATTGAACTTACTTTTATATATACAATAGGTAGGTAATATTATAGTTATCTGTATTAATACCGACAATGCGAAAGTAAATACGTAAAGAGGAACTTTCATTATTGTTTTACACGAATAGTAAACAAACTTAGTAAACATATTATAAATATTATATATCTTGAAATACTTGTTAAATGGTTGTAACAACAATAAATCCACAAAATCTATAATAGCGATATATTTATGGGTTCAATGGAGGAAATAAACCATCGGGTTGTACAAAAAGAAAAAAAATTATGTCAAAGATTTACATACGATCCACTTGAAGATTTCATCGAGAAATTTTCCTACGAATTTTCTTAAAAATGAATCGTAATAATAACAAATTCGTCTATTTACATATAATTTATATTATATACGTAAAAGTAATAAAAATAAAAGGGACAAAGAGTTTAATTGTTAATTATTTTTTAACCGTCTTTTTCAAAAGATCTTAAATATATATCAATGATGATCGTTTAGCACGAATGATCACGAATTATAATTTGCTTATCACAGAAACGCTGATTGAACTCGGAGATTATTGATCGTCCTGACTTATAATAATTTTGTTCGGAACCTAAACACGAACTTATAAAATATAAGAGTTTTATATAGTACAAAAGAGAGTCACCATCCTATAATAATATTAACAAATAGTAATAAAAGATATAATAAAATTATCAATTACCTATGTAATAAGTAATAACTAACTATATAATAATATGTATAATATATATATATAAAAATAAAAGATGAGTAAGATGTCATTAAAACGAATCCAATACACCTCCTGAGAGTTTACTTGCATACAGATTTACCACCTGAAATCATTAATAAAATGTTCGATTAAATTATGATATAGTAATTATTAAAATTATTAAAATTTAAAATAATTAGAATAAACTAAATAATTTATCATAATGTGATACTATAAATTTTAAAAGCGTACCTAATACCCACAATATAATAGTTTTCATAGATCAAAACAAACATTATAGAATATATCAAATTTTTAAGTTTTTATTTTGAATATATTGTGAATTAATAAGTGTGTTTGAATTATTTAAACAATAAAAAGCGGGATTTCAATATAATTGAATAAAAATTTTTGGACTCGTTGAAATCGTCTGTCAATGCCATTCACATTATGTTTTACGTAAAAGTGCACATTACACACACAATACTACACGTCATTATTGACGGATATAGTATTATTGTTATAATGTTATATTACATGACGTACAATTGTACAAAAATAATTTTAGAGGTTGTTAAGACGTGTTGAGGTACTATATAACTGTGATTGGATCAATAGTGGTGGGAGGAGGAGGTAAGCACTCGTTAAAAATAATATCATAGACGTTTCTATTGCAATATAATAATATGTAGAATAAAATAATGTTATGACTTGCGAAAAAAGAGTTCGGGTATTCAGGGTACTCGTCTCGGTTCGTTCAACCTATCGTTGGTACAGGACACTAGGACAGTGCTGCAGGTATTCGTATGAATTGAACGCAATAATAAATCAAAAATTAAGAACAAACGCGGGGAAAAACGACTCTCGATATTCATAAAGGTATACTACACACACGTTTTAGAATACTGAGGAGCAATCCATTAACTGGGAAATAAGTGTACATAGGCAGGAAACGTATGAATAATATTATACTGAAACTAAAATGTATTCATCACTCGCAATGTCTTTGTATATATATACAAGACGTATAAAGTATCTACCATTCTACCGATAATATTCGACAAAAAACGTAAGTGGAATTTAAAATATTTTTTCGGGTGCGTCACTGACCACTACCGACTGATTGAACGTCCCAACACCGAAATCCGACCGTTGATAATATCGTAGCTTATACGGATGACACACACACACGCACATAGTTAATAATGTTTTTTTTTTAATCGTTTACCTCGGCATAAAAAAAACGTAATCGTGTTTTCGTGTTTTGATAAGAATCCAAGATATCTAATTTATGTGACAATAACAATAAACTACACGAGGAAAATAATTACGGAGAGACAACCTGACACATCTGTATAGGTACATAAAGTTTATTAAGTAATGTATTGATATTTGGTGTGCCGCCGTTTGAGGGGCACGTCAGGTGGGTAATGAGAACCACGGTGTGGTCCGACGTCATCATATAAACGTAAATCAAGTAAATAGTTATTAATAATTTTAAGTGACATCATTAGGTATACCTTGTATATGAGAGCGTACTGGTCTCTGGTCTGGACCGCTCCCGCCCTGCACCGCCGGATCGCGTACACCGTTTTCGGGACGTCGACGGTCCGCGTGAGTTCAAAATCTCTGATGGCCATGTCGCATGCGATAACCGTCCCCGTCCGACCGGTGCCGGGGCTGCAGTGCACCACGTGAGGGCCGCTGTTGGTCTTCATGTGCGATCTGGCCTCCATGACGAACGCCAACATTGCACCCGGGTCGGACGGCACACCTTGCACCGGCCAACCTCCATACCACAGGTGTGTCACGTCCCGCCAAAGGTTAGTCTCCAGGTTCTGCCGAAGAACAAGAAAAAAAACAATAAATATTAAGTTTGTTATATTATTATCGCGAGTAAACCTAACTGAGGCAGGGGACCGCGGAGTGTTGTAATCGTCGAAATTAATATTAGATACGTATATCAACAACTGCATATCAGACAATTCTGGACCAGAGTACCCACGTTTATTATACTACTATATTATATTGTAAACTATATATACTTTATTATACTATTTATATTATATTCATCCACAAGCGGATCTTATAGGTACGAAAAAAAAATGGTAGGGGCTGGTGCTAGATGCAAGATATAATATGAGTCTATATTATAAGTAATAATACCATTTAAAATACTAGTAGTTTTATAGAGTGATTTACATAATATACCTACCTATAAACTATTTACATAGCCACATAGGTACTGATGTACTTTTGCCGTATTCTTATAGAGACTAAAGTATGACTCACCAATTTTTAAGAGTTATAACATATAACTAATAAACGAGAAAGAGTATTTGAAAAGTATCTAATAGCCCCAGCCTCCCCTTTCCTTGAATCCACCCTATAGTCCCGTAGTTAAATGTCTTACGATGTACGATTAACAAGTATGCCTGTTATAGAATTATTATAGTTAAATCTTATAGGTATACCTTCAACTGTAAATTGGAGATGATAAACTTCTCCTTTACTTCGCGTTTCTTCAATGTTATTTGATAATCACCAAACAACCGGTGACAATCCAAGACTTCGGAAGGCGGTAAATAGTCAGCACATCTTTCCTATATAAATGTAAAGTAATTTTATATTAAAACATAATATTATAATATAGATGTAATGCAAACAGTAAAAAGCGTATTACATTGAATAAAATGGTTAAAATTATATTCCTAACGATCACTAGTCATAACTATCTATTAATCTATTACTATCGTATTCGTATATATCGTATGCTCTAGTATAAAACTATAATATTGATTAATTTATTTCGAGTTTAGAATTAGACATTGTTTTGTACACCCATAAATGAGGGTACATCATGTATTTACGTATAATTATTAATTTCTATCGAAAAAAATCGACAATAAATGCTTCATATACACCCGCTACCCGCACAACACAATTAACAAATAAATACAAATAAGGGCATTAAAAGAACAACTATAAAGAATCATGAACAATGTAATAGGCATGTTATAAAAATACATCACAAAAATTAAAATAATAATATTTGTTATACTATCTCCATTCAATTTAAACCAAAGACACATCATAATTTAAAGCTTAGCTTTTTCTAAAGCTTAGCTATAATTATATCTAATGAAAAATACTAATTACCTAGTCAATACATAGATATAATGTAAAAGTTTATTTTATAAATGACAATCATTTTTGTAAGTATAAAAAAATATAATCATAATGTAGCTGTTAGAAAATCCATAAATAGATAATATTATAACATAGATTATAGACAGACATAATTGTACATTCGTACATAAAGAAAAAAAAACATGAAAATACTCTACTTAAGATTTAAATACTGGCATTTTCTAACAATATTAACAATAACCTTGAAAATAAATCGTGATATGTCAAATAAATGTCAAACTATTTACTTTCGATTTAAAATGTAAATAATTTGATTTAATACATAAATTATTACTACAATACCCATATTTGTTGCATAATAATATAATATAATTAAAGCATTTATTACATTAAGACATTGCGGCTGTTGACTAGAATTTCTCGTATCCACTTTGTATTGTTAAATAATCACAGGTCACAGATAAAATTTAAAAAAAAATCCTTAGAAAACAGATAAAATAATTTATTGCCCGAGACCAAATAATATAGTGACGCTACATAACTAATTTATTATTATAACAGACCCTGTTTGCACGCTTTTTTAATTATCTCGACAATGATTAGACATTTTACCATATTAATTTTAAGTAATAAAAAACTATACTAAATATACATTTTTAACTACCTACCATCATTCAAGAAATCAAGTTACTTATTAAATGGAGTATATCTAATTATTCTAATTAATTATATCATCATTCAAGTATTTGTTGACGTATCTTGTATTATTTACGTAATTATACAACACTGATATAATTATATACCTACAAGTAAAATAATAATATAAATTTAAGATTTAAATTTTAAATTATCATAGATATTCATAATCTATACATTTTAATATTATTACCTAATAAATTTCCCAAACTATCTCTGAAAAAAATATTTAAAAACCATTTACATCATAAAGGTGATTGAATACATTTTGAAATAGTATGAAAAAAATATGATTTACATTATTTACCTTAATTTGGTTACTCCACAATTTGTTTTATTTAAATGAAACGAGTATCACAATAATTCTAATTAGATTCGAACTAAGTTAATTTTTGGTTTAACAGTAGGCAATTACTAATAAGTAATAACAACAATTGACAAATAAACCTAAATATTTCACATTTAGATGAAATTATCTTTAGAATACAATTTAGCTTTTGTTTAAATTTTGTTTTTTTAATTCAACTGAACAAAAAATATAATATAATTTAATTTAATTGAATACCATTATAGTTAACATGAACAACATAAATAGTAGTTATTAATTTATACGAGTGTCGAGTATTAAAGTACATTGTTCTCACACACGAAAACATAAGAAATAAAGAATTATTGAATCTGTCTACTGATGTGTTAACTGTTAATTAATATGTTATATTATTTCACATTTATATAGTTTATACGTCTTAATACTTTCGCATATGAGTCATTCTGTATTGACATTGTTTTCGATTACGTATTTACGTAGGTACTATCTATAATGGTTATTATCTTCTGTAGGTTTTATTTATATTCTGTGAAAATATATTCACAAAACACTGTTGTTCTTATAAGAAATTAAGTTGGTAAGTACCTAGGTATATCGCCATATCGTTCACTAGGCTTGTATAGTGAAAACATAATGGTATATACATAATATCTTTCATGTGAACAAGAAAAAAACACGTTTAACATAATATATTTGTGATGCACTCATGCCCAAAATGTTATGGGAAGTTATTAGAAATGTATATAATAAAATATAATAATTAAATTTGGGTATACTTTTACATTCTTAATTCATTTGATTGTGAATTTTTGTGGCAGTCTGCAAGAACTAATACTTATCATCGGAAACGCACAAGTAAGTATTTCAATGAAAGTCTGGTGTGTAATTTTGTATGGAATTTAAATGACTCAATATCCATTATACCATACCTACTTAAATTATTTTAAGATAGTATCATAATAGTATAAATCGAAACATTTTAATTGCATAGTAATAGTCACAGATATATTTTTTTTATTTAGTCAATAAAATTGTTTAGGTGATAAAAAAACCGATCGTTCTAATCGAATGAATACAAAAAACTTATAGGTAGTATTACATAATAGAATAAAATATTTTTTTGGTGTTTAGAAATGTATACAGTGTATATATTCAATGTCTTGCATAACTTGAACAAGGAATTAAGTATACATTTTTGTAAATAAGTATAATACAATTAAAATATGCTTGAGCAATATTTAAATTAATGTATTAACTTTGTAATTGTATATTCTATGGACTAAACTAGGTACCTAAGTATTCTAATTAATAATTGAAAGTTGATTTAATCATATCAGAATTTTATCATAACTGTGGATAATTTATTATAATTTATAAGTTGTAACATTAGCTGTTTACCAACTACCAAGAGCTGAATGAACATTTGTATATAATATATATTTCCACCTACTTATACACATGTACGATGTTATAACGGCACAAGAAATATAAAAGATTTACCAAAAATTATAATTTTCATAATAAATTATACAAAAATAATAGAAAGATTACCAATTTTATCTTTAACAGTGAGTTAATTATTGTAAATTCAAATAAAATTGTGAAAACACACACCAATAAATTCTATTCTATGAAATGTGTGTGACAACAATTTAATATGTGACTAACCATAGATATAACAGTAATTTTCTCTTAAACGTTTCCATATTCCTCATCTATTTTATAAAATATTTTAGCTCTTATACAGTCTAACTTATACTCATATTATAATATATAAGTTATAAGTTATAACTTATAAGTATATTATGTATATTATTATTAACAATACATATCAACTTCACAAATAATTTACACAAACGTCAAATTATCTGATATTATATTAAAATACAGTTTTGATTTAAATTTGGCCTGTTGTATCGTTAGACCGACCGAACGTTTTAACTTACCACTCCTTTCTCAGTCAAACTTGTGACCATAATGATGACTCTAGTATTTTGGTCCCAAATCATTTGCCAGAAATCAGGCACGGTGGACTGCATTGGAGCTTGACAAGCGATATAAAACTTGTCAGCACCCTTATATCCCTAAAACAGTGATAAACGTTTAGAGTGTATATTTCAAATAACTACACAGCCATATTATTAGTATATGAAACTGTTATCATACCTTGACAAAATTGGCATTTATGTAGTCCGAATTCAGTCCAGAACCACGTGGATTCAGCAGAACTCTCGTTTCTGGCATTGGTATGACATTGGCATAACGGTTTTTCGTTTCAGCACCCGGTGGCAATTCGTCAGGTTTCACTGTGATCACTGGTACATTGGAAAACTCCTCATCAATCGCCGGTCGGTCTTCCGAGAAGCTCACGAGCCCAGCAAAGTTCAATACGTGTGAACAAGCCGACTAAAAATAAAATACATTATAGTATATAAAAATCAAAACGTTCAATCAAATACTTGAGATAAATACATCTTTCAAAAAAATCGTAAAAATACTCCATCTTCTACTATCTCGTCTACTTGACCTACTGGCCCTGCTATCTCTTCTCGCCGGTACAGTACGCCCGTACTTTTGACGAAAACAACACCAATAGCACATAATTTATACATAAAATAATATTTTTAGGAGATTCCGAATTTACTATTTAACGGTGTATAGCGTACCATATGTTAACCCGGGCGTAACGAACGTAAACTAAACAATTTAATCCAAACCGAACATGTTGTTACAATATTATTTTTATGATCACGACAATTATTATTTAAAATGTATATAACGCATTGACGAACAGAAGTTTTTATCAATAGGCGACCTTTCTTTTTGACTAGCACACCGAGAAACAAACATGTCAAGGAACAAATCATACGGGAAGCGATAAAATAATTTATGTGTTGAATATAATATTGTATGGATAGGACGACATCTACGACAAGTGGGAGAGAAAACCATTTTCAACGGCGCATCGTCGTATAATAGTGTAATTGGTTTCATTAGTTCTCGTGCACGTACGACGTACATCTCAATTATTTTCTATGGATTAATAGAACAACGACGTGGTGATAAGTGGTTCAGTAGGCGAAACCTTTTGGGCATGCATATGTGTTCGTATGACAATTTTTTTTACAACGTTCATTTATAAACAACATTTTTTGATTTTTTTTTAAGTCGACAAAAAATATAATATGACTGACGGAAAACGAATACCGCCAATTCATGAAAAATTATAACTGTACCTAACTATGTGTAACGATTATAATATTATTATCGATCATCGGTAAGTTTTTTCCCGAAAATTAACTGTATACGATAATTATTGTATGTAATATTATATTGTTAAGGATTTATCTGATTATATTTACAAATATGGAGTTTAATATATTTTACGCGAACATGCAGTTTTGAATTTCGAGATCATAGTAAATTGTATAGGTTTACCTACAATGATTTAATGATCTTATCATTCATACTTAAAATATAATTAGTTGTTTATCAACTAGTAACTCTAAAATACACACCAATAAAGTTATAAAAATACCTATATAGTATATTGTATAGAATATTATTCAGTATTGTTCTAAATCGATAATGGGGAATAAATTAAATAATTTGTGTTATTTACGTAATACTAATTATATAGGTATGATACACTCTTATTAGTTATTTGTATGTTTATTAAAAAATATTAAATGTTCTACATAGTCCATATACAAAGCCAATTATCTGTCTCTTAACAAAATAAATATTTTTAAAACTTTAATCCAATTTAGTAGATCAATAAAAATTGATTATATGGCAAACTAAAGTATGTACATATATTAAGTTAACAATTTAACAAGATAAATAATATATAAGTCAAATAAGTACATTTTGAATAAAGAAATGTATAATTTATTATTATGTTGGTTTATAAAATATTTTATAAACAATAAATGTTACCTTCGCCAGAGTAGGTAAAAGTAAAAATAAACGTAAATATCTTCATTTTTTTTATCATTCAATTTTTTTTTATTAATATTTTGTATAATCAAGTCTGAAACGTTTTAATAAAATATGAAAAGTTTAAATTACAATTATTCAAGGATATAAAATGAATAAAAAGTGAGTTAATTTAGTATACCTAAGTATTTTTCATTTTATTTTACAATATGGATTCCAATAATATAATATAATATGAATTAGAATTAGAATACAACGAACATTTTAACGAATCCTAACTAATGTATTCAAAATATTAACTGCTTTTGTTATAATAAGTGGCTTCGTTTAAATATTATATGATTATACAAATCTTAATCTTGTAAATATTTTGATGAACCCAAGTCACGCAAAAATAAATTTAAACAACATTTATCACTAGGTGCTAGGTAGATATATGATAAAATACTTAAATGTATATGTGATTCGGACTATATACATAGTATTAAATTTCTAAATAAACTAAGATTGTAAGGACTAAGGATTTAATTTTTTTTAAAACCTTATAAAATTATAATCATATAATATATAAGTATATACGTTTATATATATATGGTTTTACACCGGCACAAATGTATAAATAAGTATTCACTATTAATCCACCACGCTATAATTGATAGCATAGATAATAATATATTATATGAATGGCACGAATAATATTGTATTTAGCCGATTAGGTATCCCATATAGGTAAATATTGAATACAACGAAAAAAAAAATACCTACGTACAGGAATTTTTTAATCTTTAATACCTAACTATTAAGTTGTAACTTAAAACAAGATCCGAATATGAAACTTCACGTTATCTTTAAGTCCACAAGGTAGGAAAACAACTAATTTAAGATGAATGTGGAATGAAAAAAAAAATACTTACAGATTCGTCGAAAGCAGGATTTCCATATGACCGTTTTGATGCTCTACGAGCGCCTTTTCTTCTAAAGCTGTTGAACACCGATATATTGTCCATACTATAGTCGTCCAATGAAACTGGAGTACACCTTTGTCCATAGTTGAATCGTTTTTGACGTTTGCGGACAATTATCTAAATTGTGTTCATTAACCGTTTAGATATCAATACTAATATAAAAGCTAAACCACAAACAGGTATAATATATATATATCAAATATTTTACTCACTAAAATCAATACAAGGAGGGTGCAAACACCGGCTATACATGATAAATATATGGCCGCCTTCACCCTTGGATTTTCAGTTTCATCCTTATCAATGTCAATTTCTATAGCTCGTTTCATAAACTTGGCTTTTATTACCTATATATATATTATAATTTTATTTATATAGTGAATTATTATTCTTGAAAATAATAGAATATTTTAAAAATATCATGTTTCAATGAAAATAGTTAACTCGAAATAAACATAATTATAATTCAATAAAATTCAATTATTATTTTAAATTATCATTATACGTATTACTTACGTTTGATTTGTAATCAAATGGATGGTTCTGTAGTAAGTTAATAAACTCTTCGTTCATAAACGTGTTATAATCACCATTACTGTTCAACAAGTAAAATTCAACTTCCACCGGACTTTTCTCATCATTAGGTTGAAAACAGTGTTTTTCGAAGACGTTAAGGAATTTAATTTGATTTTTCGAATGAACACTACAAAAAAAAATACATATCAAATTACAATATTTCGTAAAAAATACATTGTGATTGATTATCTACCTTTCGCTACCACTTTCAAATAGTTTAATAATAGCATCCTTAAGTTCGTCTTTGTTTTCACATACGTCTGCCATAGTCGAGTTAATCATAACGTTTAAATATGATTGAACGATTGGTTGATTTGGTCCCAAAGTAGTCGTACTCGAATCGACCACAGCTGGTTTTGGTCTTGAGGTAATTGAATTTGGCTTAATAGTTGTTGTGGTTTGTTTATTTGGTGATGTAGTGGTGGAAGATTGTGTGGAGGACGGCTTCACAGTAGTAGTTGTAGTAGGAGTAGTTATTTCAACTACTATAGGTCGAGAAGTAGTCGTTGTTATTTTTTGTGTAGTTGTTGGTATTGGAGTAGTTGTAGTTGTTGTTGGTATTGGTTTGAGTGTGGTTGTAGTTGTGGTGGTGGGTCTCAGAGTTGTCGTGGTTGTTGTTGTTGGTCTCGGAGTCGTTGTAGTAGTTGTGGTTGTTGTTGTTGTTGTAGTTGTTGTTGATGTAGTTGATGTTGTTGAACTTAATAAACTAGTGACTATAGGAACATCGTTTTCAGAAATATCAGATTCCGAAGTTGGTTCATTAACTGCCATGGGACCTTGTGAAGAGGATTCAAATGTTTTTTGGCCATCATCTCCTGCATCATCATGGCTGTCCGTTGAGTTATATTCGAAATCAATAAAAGATGGATCAGGAGTGTTGGACCAACTAGGAGCTTGAGAAGTATTCAATATGTCATTAGATGGTAGTTGGGATAATTCTGTTGAAAAAATAAACATTATTAGTTTTATAAACAATGGTAAAAAGTATAAATACAAAAAACTTACCCGATGAGGTTTTTTCTGGGATCGCTGTTACAACTTCAGTTCCTGCAGTAGAGCTAGGTATAGGATTCTCAGACGAAAACATATGTGTAAAATCAATCATTTCCAGTGAATCGTGATTGTCCATTGATTCTGTTATTTTATCATCTAACTTAGTTTTAATACTTTCTATATAATGTTCAGTAGTAGTCGAATGATTTTGGTTATTTAAATCAATATCATCATGAGAAATCGAAAATTCTATATCTGAATTACTCGATTGGACTCCAGTCGTTGTCGGCATTTTATTACTATCGTGATATTCTGAATAATCAAATAAAAGTCCCGGTGCTTTACTAAATGTTTCAGTAGAAGTCTGTACCACTGGTAATTTATGGTCTCCTACATCTTCAGTATTTATCGTTACCCCACTATTATGTAAAATGTTTGATGGGTCCGTCGATAGTGTTGTAAATTCAACTTTTGTAACTTCTATTTTCGGTGCGGTTTGTGACACAGGGATTTCAGACGATGTAAAAATATTTTGTTGGACATCTGAAGTATTATTATTTTCGAAAATTGATTTATAAGATGTTACTAACAACAAATTAGAATTTTGAGATTCCGTGGGCGTTGTAGATGACGATGGACGCAATGTTTCAATTACTGTAGTTGCATTTTCAACATCAGGCTTTTGAGATCCATATACTTCGTACTTATTTTGATCAGTGTCACCACCAAAAACACTCATGGTAGAATCATTTATATTTGGTATATGACCCGTTGACAACATTGAAATTGTATGTATTAAAGATTCCGTCGATGTAATTTCCGGAGTTGATCGATTAGTAGTACTCGATTCACTCAATGATACGTATGTTTCAGGCGTACCTGTAAATGTCTCGTTGGACTCCCCAGAGGCTAATGCACCGTTTGAAGTAGAAGTTGTGTTTAAATTGTCTTCGTTTGTTTTTTGCAATCTAGTAGACCAAGTAATGAACGGTTTAATTTTAGTAACTGTTTCTTGCACACTTGTTACATTTAAAGGTTTCTTGAAAATTCTATTGGTGTTATTTGGCGCTTTTAATGATGCCAAAGCCCAAGCTGTCGCTGTTGGTGGAATAGGCTGTTGAGCTGCTGACCCTTTTGAAGCAATCACTTTAATTGGTCTCATTTTATTTAATTGCACACTAGGAGAGCCGACTTCAGCTGTATTGTTGTTGGCTATTATAATTTCAGGCTCCGTTACATCTGGTTCAAACGGTTTTGTTTTAATTGTAGAAGACATTATTTTTTGTTTTAAATTTAAATTTGATCTAATTGTGGGCCTACGAGATGCTTCAGTTGAAGTTCCAAAATTTGGATGGTGAGTAGCAATCAGTGGTGGTTTTTTGAACTTTGGCCTCTGCAGTTCAATTTCAGAATTATCCATTATTGTAGTAGTATCAATTAAATCATCAGCTGTTGAAGTCGAAGCAACATCATCTTTAACGGTTTGATCAATTGGTTTAACTCTAATAGGTTTTTTGTGACGTAAAATTGTCAAAATTTCTGGAATTTCTGAAGTTCCTTGTTCATTTTGGAATCTCGTTTTCCCCCTATTTGTCGTAACACCTTTTAATCCATCTAAACGTTGTCTAGTTTTTCTCTCTCCATTATCGATGGGTCCTTTTTTCGTCAAACCATCGAATGATGTGGTAAAATCAGAATCATCACTATCGGTGACATCTTCAGGCTCATCATATTTTGTGAAGCTTGACGAAAACGAAGTTTTAATTTTATTGGTCGAACTGAGACTACTTCTTATAGTAGTTGGACCGGTTTCATTGAATCTGACTGTAAAGACTTCCCGGTATTCTTCGTTTTCTTTTAAAGGTTTAATTATAAACTTACGTTTTTCCATAAACTTTTCTGTAGTAGTAGCACCATTACTTAACTCATCTTCAATTTGCTCTTCTCGAACCGTAAGGGTAGGCTTTTGTGACGTCGTAGCTTCAAAATTTTGTAATTTTGTAACTTCCGATAGTATGGAATTCTTCGTTGCATTGTTGGTACCGATGCCATCTTGGCATAGGACTAAGGAAATGCACGCCCAAATCCAAACTAAAACATTTCAAATATAATTGACATTTTCTACATATATTGTGTTAAGAATAATTAGGAAGAACACATCGTAATAAATAATTTTTATTATTATTATTTTACCAGTATAAAATAAGCTTATTATTATTTTTATATTGGTATAAAACTTATACAATAATATAAAGATGATATATTACCTATCCACCCTGGATGAAACTTCATCTATACAGTTGAGTCGTAAGAGTATCCAATAGGGGACATCGTTTGATACCGATGGTCATATTTAACCAAGTTTGTTATTAGGACACATTTTTGTACCTGAAAATTAAAAATAATTCATTAGAATTGTTCAAAGGAATTAATTAAAACAATCGATTTAAACATTTAATTAAATTTAGCATAAAGAACATGTAGGATGCATGTATTCAACTATGATACAATAAGTAACTAATGTTTCAAGAAACCAATATGGTATCTATAGATATAATAATATATATTGTATATTAATGAAATTACTTAATTATTAAAAATAGGGCTATGGACTTCTAGAAGTTTTGCATATTTTTAAAGAATCATTAAAAACATAGCTAAGTATTATAGAAATTTGTTTCATAACGATACGAGTTTATATTTAAGATTTAAAGTTGCATATTTTGCATACTTGACCATTTTTCATTTATAATTGGATATTTTTAAAATTTTTTTTATACAAAGGTATATATTTTGTAATTTAATAAAGAAAATCAAATTTTACGTAGATTAATCTGGACCCTGAGATAATAGTATGATGATTTATAGAAAACTAATATTTTAAAATTAGTGTTTATTTTCTTCGCCGATCACTCGTATTGTTACTTATCGGTACACTACACGCGTGATTCCCTAAAACTCGATGTAAGGAGAAAACAAGTCTAAAAAGAAAATCAATTATTGGTTACGCACAGGTTTTTTATTTTAAATTACAATTTATAATTTTGAAAATATTATCTAGATATAAAATAAAAAGGTTTTATTCAATCCTATGATTTTTTTTTTAATGCGTATTATGTTATTTAATATTACGTATTATGTTACTTTAATACAAATTTATTGATTCTTTTGGGCATAATCGCATGTATATTTTAAGGTTTTTTAGGGCATGAAGTCCCCAGCCCTAGTTATAAATAAATATATAACTGTATGTATCTGTAAAATATTATAATTAAAAATACATCCTAAAATACCTTTCACAATAAGTTATAACCTATATAGGCATATAGCTGATTTACCTATATTAAACTCGTATCATTATATAAGTATTAAAAAAAAGACCTTGTGATAAAAAAAAAAATTATTCACTAAAAATATAATATTATATCGGAAATAAAACAGTCCAAAATAGTAATGAAAAACTGTTTCAATGCTATTCAATTGACCCTGGTTAACATATTAGTCAAACGTCCGCAATTCAAATCATGCAACACATTGCCGGAAGCTAACACGCCTCCTTTTGTTAAATTTTTGTCATAAATGTAACTGATCGTATAAAATGTCAACGATGGAATTAGACAAAACACACACACACAAATAATTGTGATAAAATATTTTAAGCAATATAAAGTAATGTACCGTCAGAAAATGCAGGAAATAGTTTTAAAAAATATGTTATTCAAGAGAACTATTTTCCAAACATCAAAACACATTTTTTTTTTTTACATAATAATAATTATTATTATAATAAGGTGTAATAGGTGTATACTATATATATATTTTCTAAGTGACTGTTAAGTATTTTCCGATACAATTATAGGTAGGTATTATAAGGTAATGAATGTTAGTATTATATTCTTAAATTGTTCACTTTTAACTACGTTCTGAAAACAAAATATTAAAATTAATGTTTAGTTGGGCTGTAATTATAATTAATTCACATTATTTTTATTACCTAGTCATTGTTTTTTTTTTTTATTATGAAACATGTGTTTTAGGCGTTTAACCTAACTATATTAATGTCCACTAAACTTAAATTATTTCTGAAATAATAATAATAATAATAATTAGTTATAATAATTGTTTTTAAAACATTGATACCTACCTTTATAATGTAAAATGTATTATTTTCATTTAGTGATAATAATTAAAACTTAGATAATGAGTTCATCAGTGAGTCTATACCACTCTAGTCTCGTTGATTCGTCATCGTACCAGTGTTATTCATGGATATATAGACACACAAGTGAAACATTTGAACCGAAAAAAGTAGGGATACCCAATCTAGATCTATAAGAATTTTTTGATTTTTAGAGCGTAAAAAGAAAAATAATTGTTTACAACTGGACTATGAGAGTATTCATCAAAAATACTCCAATAGCACATAATGATGAAATAAATCAAAAAAATTCAAGGTGAATGGACATGATCGGTATGTGGCTTTTTTTATCTTTTAATATATAACAGTCAAGAGTATTGTTACCTAATAATAGGAAAATCGACATTTTCGTGAAGATGTACTCGTGTGAATCCTAATTTATTTGTGTAAAATCTATACCTATTAACATTTTTCTACAAACATACTTAACAAAAGTTTAATATCGGATGAAAATTAAACAAACCCGGTTTTATGTCTTTACATTATTTGTTCGATTGAAATGTTGACATTATTCACATCTGCATGACTGCATAATATATTAATATCTATATTATATACTTGTATAATTTACAACATATTTTATTTCAATATGCTGGTACCTACGTGTTTAGCAACTAAAATTATAAAATGATACAAAATATTTTATACTGTTTGGAAGTATTCAGATATATTATTATATTTCATAGTACATGGTTAGACAATATATAATGATTTGTCATTGGTGAAGTATCATATAAAATAACTATCACATATGTACGATTTACCGAGTACTTACATTAGTATTCCCGAGATCAACTCTTTGTTGATGACAGAACACGCCATAATTTTTCCTATTGTTTCAATAGCTCCACATAGAGAATTTTTAGTTTTATCATTTACACGAATAAAACAATGTTAAGTTTTATTTAAACTCAAAACAAAGCCATATTTTTATCAAATTCTTGTGATAATATGTATGATTTAGAGAATACTTAGTAGTAGTGTAGTATTGTAATAAAAAACAATTAAAGACCAAATATTGTAGACAAGTAGGTCCTATTATAGTAACCTATACCGAAACCATTAACACACCCATAGCCAATTTTATAAGTGGTAGTATCATACTGCATTTTCTACCAAGTTAAAAAAAAAGAAAACGCTGAACTAATATAATATTATTATAACTTTGTCGTTCATTAATAAATTATGTGCGTCATACATAGCTGTAGTGTAATTCAATAGATCATTTCACTTTTATTATTTAAAAACGTAACGCACATAATCATAATCATCGTCTACTGACATTTTTTTACAGGTCAACATACTATATTTTATAAACCCAAGTTAAATTATACACAAGCAATTTGCCTCAATTAATATTATCAGGTCGGAACATGCAAATACCTACGCTTGTATAAACAATATAATATACATATATATTATATACACAATACACTGCATACACTAAAATATCACGAATCGTTATAATACTCCATTAAATGTATAAGTGTTTCACAAAAATATCCGACGTTTATCACTTAAAATAGAACTTTTTCGTAAGTGTATTAAAACGTTTTAAGGGTTTATCACGCTGACATTTTTGTAACAACACTCGCGTTTTGCTGTAATTGCTGAGCTGACGCCGCAACAAATTATGTTTTACTTTTAATGGACTAAGCAGAAGGAGTCGAAACGTCAACTGTAGTCTAAATCTTAAATAGTATATAAGTACCTAATACCTAGTATTTATAATCAATGGTAACATAGAGTTTATAGACTATAGCGTATAATGCACGTCATGATTACATTATTGTACAAGTATCCATATAATACCTAACCTAACCTAATCGTAATAATATATGTCAAATCTTAACACTTAAAAACTACAAGTCGTATACCTTATAATGAATCTAAAAGTTATAGTATGTATCTCAAACTTCTATCTTACAATTAGCCTGTATGAGTATGTAATATACTAAATAGTAAATAAAATATACCGTAAACAACAACAATATAATATACTGTAATGAAATAGGCACTACCACAATAAATATAAAATACTTATGTTTCACATCGATTTTTGAGGACTACCTACTATGTTTATATAATAAAGGCGTAAGTGTGTGATGGCACGCGCCAAGCAGGGTAACAACTCACAACACGGTCGCTAAGGAAAGTCCGAGAACATAATAAAAAAAATATACTTTTAAAGGTTTCAAAACGTTGGCGCAGGTTTTTATTGAGTTTTTATTTTTTCAAATAATTTGAATACTGTTATATTATTGATGCAAACTGTGACGATACGACAGCGAGCGATGTGTTTCCCGCATATTATAATTTGTAGTTGTAACACACCAGTATGGGACAATTGCCACACATTTCCTGAATGGGGAAATATAATGTAATATTATGTTAAAATGTTTTTGTTTCTTGCATATATAATATAATTGTTAAATATTAATATTAAAATTTATATTAAAATGGTATAAAATTATATAATATTGTGTATCACTCGATACGTTTTTACGAATACTCTAATTCGGTTGAAAGGAAGCTGAGACAGCCCGTGGTGCATAGACTCATTGGTGGTCACACCAACAGACTTTAATTATATCACATATTAAAATATAATATATTTTAATTTATTGTCAAAATAGAAAATTCACTTTCGTCTTCGTACAGAACCAAACCTACCGCTGTAGATACACTATTGTGTACATAGAAAATCGCACACTCGCACGCTAACATTTCCTCAGTTAAACGTTTTAATATAATAATTACACCTTAAAGACGTGTTCACGGCACGCGTTCCAACGTGTGTGAGAACGACCTTGAGTGCTGCACACATGTAAAACACCAGTAACGATTGCATTCTACTCGAGGAACCCGCACCGGCATAATAAGACCTACAGGTACCTGGTACCTTACTAGCGCGCTGGTGGGAACATAAACCGTCAAGGGCAACGACTTTTTTTTCCCCAAACGAACAAATCTCGGAATATGCCACCGTCGCTGTGGCTGCTGGGTAACGGGTTATTTCATATTATAGTATATTAAACGGCGTGGGCGTATATATAGGTAGCATGCAAGCGAAACTAAACCACGTACATAACAA